AGGACGCTAAATATTGTAGCGTTGTAGCCGTTGCTATGCAACGACCGCGAGATAAGCGGGTATTCCAGGGTAATTTCCAGGCTCGGTAAGTACCTTCCCGCAACAACAAACACGAACGCAACAATGATACAGCAACAGAGAAAAGGTGTTTTCTGTGTGGTCCGTGACGAGGTGTAAAAGCGATACGAAGTTTAGAGCTTAGTCATACCCCCTGTGGAGGCGTATTATATTGGCCTATTGTACCAGCCCCAGATGATAGGTGAGGGTGATTGTGGAGCAATTGGTGGAATGAAGATTGACAAGGGAAACCGAAGTACTCGGAGAAAACCCGTCCCAGCGCCACTTTGTCCACCACAAATCCCACTTGACCTGACCCGGGATCGAACCCGGGCCGCCGCCGTGGGAAGCCAGCGACTAACCGCTCGAGCTATGGCGCGGTCTATTAAATAAGCTACTCTAGTGTAGCTGCTTCAGTTTCTGTCGGCTTCAATGGAGTCTACAGCTTATTGCTTAATGTGAAATTTGTGTCTCCTATAAATACAAATGTGTAAAATGAGGATTCAAGGCGTTCTTTCATTTGTCACTTATTTTACTATTTGAATGTAAAGCAGACGATTTGCAATGTATATTTAATGTAACCCTAGGCTGCCTCATAGCTCAAGCGGTTAGTCGCTGGCTTCCCACCGCGGCAGCCCGGGTTCGATCCCGGGTCTGGTCAAGTGGGATTTGTGGTGGATAAAGTGGTTCTGGGGCGGGGTTTCTCCGAATACTTCGGTTTCCCCTGCCAATCTTCATTCCACCAAATTCTCCATCATCATAATCACCTGGGGCAGGCCACAATAGGCCAATCAGTGGCCGCCGTGCCGAGTGGATCCAGTTGGACTCCACCCCCCGACAAGCGAATTTTTAATGTAATCCTTGTTCTTATTAACTGACTGATAAGGAAAATATTACGTACAATAGGCGCTGCGATATCACGGCAGTGTCCGACTTTTTTTAATTATTCCATACCCTGCCGTCCTCAGAAGTATTACTGTCTAGTAAATGCAAGTTTTTTTCTTCAATTTCAAGTACAGTTCTTTTATAAAGATTACTGCTGTCTCGGAATGGAAGGTCGTGTAGTCTGGTAGATGGACACAAACTTTTCGAACGAATCTACTGCCTTCATCTTCATGATTGAAGACACCCTTGTACCTTGAGGGACCGAAATGATAGCATCTATTTACAAAATTACAAAGCGTCAGATCTCAGAAGATGTTACCGGTGAGAGAACCTAAATTATCACCAGTTTTATGACATTTCTTAGTGTTGTAATTTCGCCAGATTATCTCTCTTGCCTGTAATAAACTGAAAATGTCCTAAATTTGTGGACAAGATAGGTTACCTATAACTTATTTTCTAATGTTGCATGTATGGGCTCTTAGTATTCCTGGGTTGCTGTCGTCGTCCATTGCTTACCATCCAGAACAGAACAAAGTATTTCCGAAACCTGATATGTCTCTGTCCTCAGGTGAAAATGTTAGGACGTACCCACTCAGTTGGGTCCGCTAACCAACGCCAGTCCTTCTACTTGACGGAGGAAGCGAATCCATTTTCCAGAATATTATATTCTGCTCTGAATGTCGCAGCCCAGGAAACCAGAAGCTAAGTGCACTATGGGACCTACTATTGTCAGAACCTTCTATACTTGTCCTATATCTGCAATTTATTGCCTTTCCTTGGTGTTATATACCAAGCATGTAAACTAAAGTTTTCTTGAAAACTGTTTCGGTTTTAAATCCTATTTTCAGTGTACTTTCCTTATTTTGAAAAAAATAAAAGGGACTCGTGAGATCACTTACTCCGGTCTAGAAAACCGAAATTAACGGCCGTGGGGATTCGTTGCGCTGACCACGCGACACCCTCTATCCGCTAAATTTGGCAACAACTTCGCCGGCAAGCGGCGGTCGCTAGGTCTGTATAGTTCGTATGCAGACTAAAAACGCGGAGTTTTTTATTGAGATCAATTACTGTCTGTGTGTCCGTCTGTCCGTCTCTGTATCATCTTCCCTAATTTTTATCAGGAGACTTTTGAGTTCAACTTGCTGTGTATGCCTGTGTATCCCCCTGACATCTCCGTTTTCTATTCGGTGCGTGCCTTATCAAAGAAAGTAAGTGATTAGTCCTTCCCATAACTTATTGTAGAATTTAGCCATAGAGGCGCTGTCATCGTTTTAATGCATGCACTGTTGTGCTGTTATAGGCTTGCTTTTGGCCAGTCGATTCCAGAAATAGAATAAATTTGGCCCTGTGATGAAAAACGATATTCGGCCCACGTCTGTCTGCAGTGTCGCACAAAAATGGAAAGCAAAAGGACAGCCTCTGCGTCGTTGTGTAAGTAAACAATGACAGGAACCCAATGTTTACAAAGTGAAGAAGGAAGAGTAACTTGCTTTGTGAATATGATTAATGGCCCGAGTCTGGGAAGCCAGCCATTTGTAAAGCGTAAGTCTTTGATGCACTTGCATGCAAAGGATGTGTCTAGGTGCCGAATGTTCGCCAGTCGGCCGGAAATGGCGCTATCAATCAGACACGGCTAATTGCAGTGTGTGGAGTGCTTGGGGTCAGTCGCTCAAGTAGGGAACTGGCTCATGACACAGGGTACAATTATAACAGGATGGATACCAGATCATCAGCACACAAATCAGACATGAAAAGATTGCCACTAATTTAGTGACTAGACAGTAATTAGTATTTAATAACTATCTAGCAGTTTTTATAAGAATTTTTAAGGGTACGACTTTGTTCTCTTTTGTTTTAGCTAAAATAAAATACTCTTTTGCTTGCTTTACGAAATTACTGTATATTTTTAGTTGTACTAAAGTAATATTCATATTACAATCAGGTGGTCCTTTTCACATTACTCTACATTTTTAGTTGTATTAAAGTAACCGACGTGTCGGAGTTCGAGTCCAGGTAGGGTCAAAAATTTTGGCTTCACCACGTTGTCCAGACCGGCTCTGGGGTCCAACCAGCCTCCTATCCAAAAGTACCGGGGACTCTTACCCCGGGGGTAAAGCGGCCGGGGCATGAAGCTGATTACTCACCTCCAGCTAGTGTCGAAGTCAAGAAAATGTGGATCTATACATCCACTCCCCCATACGTCTTCATGGCGTGGTGATTACTTAGTTAAGCACAGTGACAATTGTTAATTCATTCCAGTGTGACTGGACTACAGCCGCCCATATTCAAGGAAAGCTCTGAACCAAGTAAGTGAATGAACCCTCCCCATATGTCACACACACACAGAACAGGCATGTCCTGTCAGCAAAGGAGAAGCATTAATTGGACGGTATATAAATCAGTAGTCCTGTATTTAAGCATCTTGTTGCATTAAAAACAAATTCCGTGGTTTTAGCCCGCGAGCGAACTATACCGACCGAGCGATCGCCGCTTGTCCGTGAAGCTAGTGTCAACCTTAGCAGATAAAGGGTGTCACGTGGTCAGCGGAACGAATCCCCACGGCCGTTAATTTTGGTTTTCCTCGACCACGTTCCAGACCCACTTCTTCTCAGAAAATTTCGTAGCGTTGGGAATCAAACCCGGACCTCTAGATCTGTAGCCAGGAACTATGACCTATCTAATACTGTTTATTGTACTATACAGTCCGTCAACAATGCAACAAATTGTTCCTTCTTTCTTACACTTTCACTTTCGACACAATATGTTTCGGCCCTAAATGGCCATCTTAAAGTGTCTTACCATGCTGAAACTGCTACACTGCACTAATATTGTCTATTCGTCGCATATGTGACTGCACGCTTCATGATTTAAAACGTAATACTCTTAGTCAATTGGTATGCGCTAAAAGAGCAGTCTGCATAGTCAGAACAGACCCCTGTATTTCATCTTAACCTTAACGTCCATATTGTCTAAACACCCGTAACGTCTTAGAACTTAATCCAGACTTCCCTTTCTTCTCCAGCCTAATATCTATTTTTAAGAAAAAATAGTTTAACATTTATGGGACAATTTTTTAGTATATTTTAGTAGCGAATCACCTGCATTGTGGAGTAAAAGATTTGGTGTCGCGAACTAGTAACCTTTGTACTGAGAACCCTAAAATTATAAAAATACGTCCAAGACTACAGAATCATGTCTCTGAAGACATAAGAAATACCGCATTAGTGCAAACTGATCGGTGAAAGAAGGAATATGTTTGCATATCGCGCTTACTTTAAGGTAAGTGGTGTTATATTAAAATATCAAATATCAAATTCAAAATTTGAAAATAAAAATCGTTCTTAAGATTTTCTGCCTGTCAGACACTTAAATTATTTTCATATATTTTCCCCCGAAAAAAAATCTACATTTCAAAACTGATATAGGATTCAGGAAGAACTCTTGACTGAAAGGACTTGTCAAATTTTAAATTTCTCAGAAACCCGAGACACCCGATTTATTCGACAGATTGAAATAACAATGAATATTATATAGTGAACTAAGCAACATTTTGGACACTTACGTCCATAAATGACTGGAAGTTAACTAAAATAATTAGTGTCATAACAATTCCATTTTTCTAATGAAAGTATGACGCATAATTTGGCTTACTGTAGGATGCAATCCCAATAGTTTCTAACATTCAAATAGTGAACATTAACGTAATGCCGCTTTTTCTTATGATGATATACACTAAAGAAAAAAGATAGACAAGCTTACAAAATTTGTTATTTTGGAAATAATACACTGATACATTGGGTTTTTGGACTTCATCCATCGTCCTGGTTTTTAAGATAATTAATAAAAACACGACGTTTCGGAAACTGGATCTGTTTCCGTCCTCAGGTGAAGGAAAACACCTATTCTGTTGGGTCCGTTAGAAAGAGCTAGCCTCAATCACTGGACGTGATTCTTCTCGGCAAGGAAGAATCATGAAGTAAGTATTCTGAGCTCAAAAGAAAATGGGAAGCATAATAGGCCTGTATATCACAGAACATCATGCAAACAAACTTTCTTACCTTTCACTGGACAGCAACAGACATTTTGTATCCATACAAGCAGCATAAAACCTGGAACAACAGACGATATCATATATACGCATTTTCGGGACTGATGGCCTTAAAGGAAATTAATTACCAACAGTTCTAGGGTCATTTTGAATAAGTTCAATCAAAGCAAATATTTTAGCTAGAAACTCCATAGAGCTTAGCCCATCTTGATAATCCGTAAATCTCTTATCTACTCAAGACCCCCAGCAATTTATGGATCCAGAAGGTTCATTGCCGTATTCACAAAAGCCCTCCACTGGTCCTCATCCTGCTCCAGATCAATCTAGTCGATAGGACTCCATTCTCTCCCTCTAAGATCCGTTTTAATATTGTCCACCCACCTATGTCTAGTTCTTCCTTGTGGTCTCTTTCCTTCTGGCTTCCTCAACAATATACCATATACATTCATCTTCTCCCATTCCTACTACACGCCCTGCCAATCGAATTTTCCTTGAGTTAGTCATTCTAACTATACTTGGTGACGAATACAAACTATGAAGCTTCTCATTATGCATTTTTCTCAAACTTCCTGTCACTTCATCTCTCTTCGGTCCAAATATTCTCCTTGGCATCCTATTCTCGAACACCCTCAGTATATGTTCCTCCCTTAATGTCAGAGACCAAGATTCACACCCATACAGAGCCACAGGCAAAATTATAATTTTGTACATTCTGATTTTTACGTTTTTAGACAGCAAATGAGAATTCCATGATTTATTTAATCCGTGGACTTAAATCAGTGCAACAGGACGCTAAAATATAACATTAGCAAATGAGAAGATGAAAGCTTCTGAAAAGTATTTTACTTAGAAAGTTATAAATATTCCCATATACGTTTAATATTTCCTACTAATATTCTGTTCATTATAAATTATAGGGCTTTGGATTCGTAATTAACCTTATATGTTTTATTGTATCTTTTGCCTTGAACAAAAATATATGTTTCACATTGCCAATGCAAAATATGTATTCATGTATTTTAATTTAATAGACCATAAATTGGAAGAAAATAAAACACTGTCTGTTATTAGTATTTTCATTGTTATCGTTACTGTTATTGTTATGAAGAAAGCTTGAAGGGAATGGAAAATGATGTTGTTTAAGGAAATCAAATTTCATAACCTTATTAATGAGACAGACGAAGTCTGAAGATATTGCACATCTTTCATTAAGTCTTGTGACAAGTAGAACATTTTGTAAGCATCTGATCTGCGTATTAGAATTACTGTAAATCGTGTTATTTTTTATATAAAGAGTGAAATTAAAAACCATTTGCTAAGCGTAATACTGGCTCCATGCCACAATATCATAGAATTTCCAAATGTAACATTGCTCCTACAGTCCACAGACGTGCTTCTCGTGTTCTGAGTAGTGCAGAATGGTATTGTCCAGAGGTCCCAGAGGATGCTAAACAAAATTGATACACAAATCATTAAGAGCAAAAGGATAGGGATACAAGGGAAACATTGATTCCAAAATGGTCTGAACTTAAAACCAATGTTAGCTCTAATACCTTGCCCCATGCAGTGTACAGTTAACAATATCGGATTATATTAACTTCCTTTTGAAAAACAATCATTCCGAAATCAAAGCACATTTAACAAAGAAAGCGAGAATGAAACTACGTATATATCCATTTGTATGTTGGTATACTAACAAATACTTTCAGAATGAATGGTTGATATACGTTAGAGTTTGAGCTAATAAACTGTGATGAGTGTGTTCCTAGATACGCCTTAATTTTATTACCACCAACAATAACGGATAACGTGGCGGTCATTTGAACTCCTTACTTACTTACTTACTTACTTACTTACTTACTTACTTACTTACTCATGGAGATCAGCCCTTCTAGAGGAGCCGCCAATTCTGCAGCTACTCAAGAATTTCCCAGCATTTTATGGAACCCGAAGGTTCAATACCGTGTTCACAGGATCCCACCACTTGTCCCTATCCTGAGCCAGATAAATCCAATCCATGCCATCCCGTCCTGTTTCTCCAAGATCCATTCTAATATTGTCCACCCACCTATGCCTTGGTCTTCCCAGTGGTCTCTTTCCTTCTGGCTTTCCCACCAATATCCTATACGCATTCCTCGTCTCCCCNTCCTCAACACCCTGTTCTCAAACACCCTCAGTCTATGTTCCTCCCTTAATGTCAGAGACCAAGTTTCACACCCATACAGAACCACAGGCAAAATTATAGTTTTGTATATTCTAATTTTTATGTTTTTGGACAACAGACGAGAAGACAAAAGGTTCTGGACTGAATGGTAGCAAGCATTACCCGAGTTCAATCTCCTCTTAATTTCCTCCTGAATCAGGTTTCGATCTGTTATCGTTGTTCCCAAATATCTTAATTGTGCCACATTTTCAAAACATATGTTTCCTATCTTTATGTCATGATTTTGCCCTGCATTTTGGTGACGAGACAGCAACTTGTGTTTACTTCTAGACCAGCCTCCTTACTAGTGCCAATTAAAATTTTGTGTTTCTCTTTATGGTTGATAATATAGATACCATAAAGAGAAACAGTAGATTCACATCATCGGCGTAGGACAACAGCCGACGTGTCCCATTTAATTTCAGTCCCACCTGGTTTCCCTGGACCTTCCTAATGGCATATTCTAAAGCAAAGTTGAAGAGGAGTGGTGATAAAGTATCTCCTTGCTTTAGATCATTCTGGATATGAAAATTATCAGACAAATGTTTACCTATACGGACTTTACTATACGTTTCGTTCAAACACATCTTAATCATGGGTATCCCAAAACCTATCATAATTTTGTACAATAATTCCCTCTTAACCGAATCATAAGCTTTCTTGCAGTCTACAAATAGCTGGTGTACTCTTTTATTGTACTTCAATTTTTTCTCTAATATCCGACGAATGCAAAAGATCTGATCTGCAGTTGGTCTGTTACGTCGAAACCCACATTGATGATCCCCAATAATTTCATCCTGTATATGGGCTTAGCCTGTGGCGGATACATGCAAGATAAAAAGTTTACGAAGTTTTTTAGCTAAAAATGAAAAACATGTTTGCAACCAAGATCGCATGATAAATCTCATTTAGTCGATATATGCACTAAGAGAAATTATGCAAACAGAACATCACATTACATAATTGTAAAAAAGAATGGATTCATTTTCGCGGTCGAAGAATATGCTAAGAAAGAAATCAGCAAGGAGGAGGTAGCAAGCAGATCTAATCTCGACCCTGGAGATGGAGACGACATGTTTCTCCTAAACGTCTGTAGACATTCAACGGAGCACACGACTTTATATCCCAGAAGACAGAAATATACATATCAGCCGCTGTGAGGCCCTCAAACCCTACGAGGGTGACATATATAAATCCCTTATTATTATTTTTATTGCTAGTGGGGTGGGACTAAGTCCCTTGTACTGCGGCCACTTCTGGCCTATTTTACCAGCCCCAGATGATAGGTGAGGGTGATTGTGGAGCAATTGGTGGAATGAAGATTGGCAGGGGAAACCGAAGTACTCGGAGAAAACCTGCCTCAGCGCCACTTTGTCCATCACAAATCCCACATACGCATAACCGGGATCGAACCCGGGCCGCCGCGGTGGGAAGCCAGCGACTAACCGCTTGAGCTATGGCGTGGCCCTTAACTTCCGGTTCTGTTTAACCGTTGGTACCGTCTGCATTCAACAAGAGTGTCCGTGTAGTCGAGTTGAAGCCTTCACTGCGACAGGACACAATGAAGTTTTCTGTGGTGATCGGCGGCTTCCTTAGGGCTGCAGTACTCGGTACTACAGCGCTCTTCTCTCTCGAAGTGCAGCATACATTACGTTACACCGATTTCTTTTGTACACATTTCATAGGATGAAAGTGCCCGTTTCCTCAGATACACTGGATTCATGATGTTGGAGGTATACCAGTTCAGCAGTACTGATGTTCCCTTGAAGACCTGCCAACCGATAGCTTCGATACTTTTCTCATGATTCTACATGAAAAGGGCCATCAATGTACATAAGGCCTTTCATACGGCACGTTCTGACAGATAAGCATCTTTTCAATAGCTTTCCGTCTGAAGTGTTCCCTTATGTGTACAACATGCCGAATGAAAGAGGCAAGCAGTTCTCAGCTGAGGGCTAACCGACATCGGTCTAAAATCCTACAAACAAGGTCATGGAACGACTAGGTGTTCAAAGCTTGGGTTCTCGTTTTAATGTGGTAGTTTTGTATTGGTGTGAAACGTGGTCCCTGACACTGAGAGAACATACACTGGAGGTCCCCGAGAACAGGGACGTGGGAAGCAGTGCTACGAAGTTGGAGAAAATTGCTTAGTGAGGAGGTTAATAAATTGCAAATAAGTTCTAATCGTTTATGACGATAGTATATTGTGTTTCTGGACATTATCAATCGTCCTCTTTTCCTTCGAAACACACGGCGTTATGGAGACTATCTCCGGAAATAGGGAGCGACTCCATTGGGTTAGCTATTCAGTCAGTTAAGTACTGCGGCCACTTCTGACCTATTGTACCAGCCCCAGATGATAGATGAGGGTGATTGTTGAGCAATTGGTGGGATGAAGATTGGCAGGGGAAACCGAAGTACTCGGAGAAAACCTGCCCCAGCGCCACTTTATCCACCACAAATCCCACTTGACCAGACCCGTGATCGAACCCGGGCCGCCGCGGTGGGAAACCAGCGACTAACCGCTTCAGCTATGGTGCCGCCCTTAGTTAGTTAGTTTGTTAGTTAGAGGCGGGATACGTCAGTCAGTAAAACGACCAGCCACGGGATGAATGATCGAGGTTCAGTTTCCGGAAGGGACAGGATTGTTCCGATGAGGATCTTGAACGAACTCAGTTTCCTTTCCGATGCTTAACCGGTGGAACTTCCTCGGGAGAGCGAAGATGAATACTAACCTCCACGTGTTGCCGAATACTAACATTTACTTCCACGCTCCTTATAAACATTCATGGCATTTTATTTAGCCGAAGCGGCAACAATCATCCAAGATTTACTGTTCGTGGGAGAAGTGGATAACT